CACATGTTGCACATTAACGTGTTGTGCCTATTCGTGCTTTTTATTTTTAAACAGATTAACCAAGAATTCAGAAGGAGCTCGACTGTTAACCTGGAGACAGTATTCCTGTTGGACGAGTACTCCCCGAAAATCATGTCCCTGTTGTCCTCAAGAGCGGAAACTGCAAAAAATGAATATCCGGCGCATACAGAACATGCTGCTAGAGGTACGAATAAATGAAATAAAGTTACTTTCAAATGGAATGTCCACTTTGTTGATGTTGGGCTTTTGATCATCACTGATACATGGCTGTTGTTGAAAAGGAGGCACCGTGGACGAATTCCTGTCAACCTGGCAGCGGTGCTCGAGTACCTGACCGAGATCCAGGAGCTGTTGGGGAAACTTGGCTCATGACGGTGGGAGGACCGGGATCGTTCCCCGGCACCCTCAGCCGTCTGTCCGTGGTGACGAGGAGCTCGGCAGACTGCTGGGAGGAGTGACCATCGCTCAGGAAGGAATTCTGCCCAGCATTCGGGCAGTCCTGCTGCCCAGAAGGACCGAGAGGCCCACCGGATCTGACAGCAAGCTGGATCTGGGTGGATGGATCTGTGTCCAGATTCTTCACATTCGCTGCAGGAGATCCTTCCTGCCTAGAGCTCTCAGCATCTAACAACTCTTGAATGAAACCAGGATGATGAGCTACGACACTTAATTTCCCTCTGGGATTAATAAAGTATTTTTGAATCAAATTGAATTAAACCAGACACCACTATACTTAAAGACAGAGATGTTGTGTTGAGTAAAATATGTGTACCGTTGAGAGTTCAGTAAATACACGTAGTTCAAAATAATGTACTTTTAATAATGCAAAGTGTTCAAATCAGTCTGATCAGCACTTCTGTCAAAATATTGGGTCTTTTTGAGACAGTTCTCCAGGTTGTTTTGTGTCATTTCGTTTACGGAGGCTACAGTTGTTTCAGTATGCAGTCATGTTTGAATAAACATTTTAAGCTGTAACTTAAATGTGTAATTTATTCTGACTTAGATAAATAAATTACTTGTACTAAAACAAGTTAATGTAACAATTTGCGTAGACATTTCTGAGTAGAATAAAAGGAAAATATTTATTAAATTACTACCAAGTTGGTTCAACTTAATTAAGCTTGCAGAGGGTGAAGAAAATCATGTTGTACTAAGTAATTGAGTTTGCCTAACTAGAAAAGCCTTGTGGCATTTACTCAATTTATGGCTAAGTTGAAACAACTTGAAAAAAATCTACGCAAATTGTTATATCAATTTTTTTAAGTTGAGCCAGCACATTGTTTTTTTAGAGTGCACCAAAAACCAACAATCATGGCACCCTTCTCCTGAACGTTTTGTTATATACAGACCCTTT